TAAGGGCCCTTACATCAGAACCCTGTAATGGGAGGTTAGGGACCACATGAAGGGCCCATGAAACTACCGTAAGAGAAAAGCCGAAACCCCAAAACCCTATAAACCGCATATCCCCAGAAGCCAAAACCTTCAACCCATGTGGGGTTCTCAAGGTTTCGGGCTTACATAAGGGGCTCAAAAACACACAGAAGTGCAAACGCCCCGAAGCACAGTCGGCACTGATGAACTCTAAATCCTAAACCCTAAACCCTAAACCCTAAACACTAAATTCTAAACCCTAAACCCTAATCCTGATGAACTCTAAACCCTAATCCTAAATCCTAAACCCTAAACCCTAAACCCTAAAGTCTGGGGCCGCGCCCAAAACGCTTGGGCGCCGGCCACCGCAGCTGTTGACTTGCCGGATGGTCTGGGCATTTAGGATTTCGTAGGGTCTGGGGGTGTAGGGTTTAGGGTTGTTTGTTTGGGGGTATAGGGTTTAGGGTTTAGGGTTTATGGTCTAGGGCTTAGGGCTCAGGGCTTGAGGTCATTATAGGGTTTAGGATTGTTGAAATAATATGCAAGTTTGGTCATCATATCAGGCCCCACTGAAGAACAGCTAGAGCAGCTGAAGCCCCGAAAGAAGTTGAAGCCCTCTGCTCCAATCTTAAACCCTAAGCCTCAATCCTGTTCCGATGTGGGGAGCTGGGTTTAGGGTTCAGGGTTTAGGGTATAGAGTTTAGAGGGGTTTTGGGCTAAGACCCTGAACCACTACCACACCCGCAAAAAGGAACTACATGAGAGCGGTAGAGTCTTGAAATCTCTGTCAGAGCGTCAAGAAAACTTGGTAGCCCAGCAACCATCTTCTGATGAGGGCACCCTTTTTGGGTTGGTTACTTTAAATGGAACTTTGAACCTTGAACCAAACAAGAAAGCAAAAGGGTTCAGGGTTTAGGGTTTAGGGCAACGCTTGAGTGTTTTTGGGTCTTGGGATGCAGGGCTTGGTGACGGGCTCTGGGTGCGCCAACACCCAAAACCCTCAACCCTCTAAACCCTAAACCATAAACCCTAAACTCTAAACCCTAAACCCTGAACCTTAAGCCTGGGATGAGCTCCGGCGGATGGATTCTCTGAGACCGTGAGCCCCAGAAGCCCAAAGTGCCCCAATGCCCCTTACGGAATGCTCCCGAGGGGTTAGGGTTTAGGGTTTAGGGTTTAGGGTTTAGGGTTTAGGGCGTAGGGCTTAGGGCTTAGGGCTGAGGGCTTAGGGTTTAGGGTTTAGTTCAGAATCACTCTTAGGGGAGCTACATGGTCCTTGAGAACCCTCTGAAACAGATTCCTAATCATGATCCTCCTAAACCCAACATGGGAGTATGTAAAATATCCCAAAAGGCGTGCCCAGCTAGCCACGTGGCGGGTCCTCCTTAAATGCGGAACCCTTCTCTACCCATTATATACGCTAAACCCTAAACCCTAAACCCTAAACCCTAAACCCTAAACCCTAAACCCTAAACCCTAAACCCTAAACCCTAAACCCTACACCCTAAACCCTAAACCCTCACCTCTGAGGTTCCGGGCCCGGTGGCGATCACAAAGCTGGGTGCAGGAAGGCTCGCCCCACACTGTGGCAAGGGGCTTAGGTTAACCCTAAACCCTAAACCCTAAGCCCTAAACCCTAAACCCTAAACCCTAAACCCTAAACCCTAAACCCTAAACCCTAAATCCTAAACCCTAAACCCTAAACCCTAAACCCTGGGCATGGCATCGGTTGTGCAACTCGAAGGCTTCGGTGTCGGCTCGGGTCGACTTGAATCTAGAATCTGGGCCAGTACCTGGAACTGTTATGTGGCCCATGTAGGTCTTTGGGTAAAGTTTCCTACTTCCTCTAGACCCAGAGTAACCTAGGAACAGAACAGGGTTTCGGGTTTAGGACTCGAGAGTACCCTAGGAATACAAAACCGGCCCGTTTTGGAGTTAAGGGGCGTGCAAGGGGACTCTGCGCGCGGAAAAGGGGTTTATGCACCTTACACACGTAGAGATTTCTTCTTCCCCCGATCAAATCGGGCGCTCCCCCCTCTGAAGAATCACCGCAAGAGGCCTCTATATATATATATACATATACATATATACATATATCATATACCATATCTATATATATATATACACATACATACGTATATGTATATGTATAACCCTGTAAACGCTAAAACACCCTAGAAACCCCCTACCCCCCCACAAACCCCAGCCAGCTGGGGGTCCCCACTGCTCCAGGCATTGAAGGAGCAATGTTCTGGAAGACAGCCGACCATGGCCGCATCTGCCGCCCTTGGTGGTTTAGGGTATTTAGTATTTAGGGTTTAGGGTTAAGCAACACAATGAACCCTGATAGGGGTTCGGCAGGGTTGGGGCTCTAAGCCCGGAAGCCCTACTCTAGCGAATTCTATGCCTTGCACTTTTGAATGAGTCACAACGAAAGCCTATTGACGAAAGAAACCACAACACAGGTCTAATCCAAAATTGTCTTCTCGACGTACTGGCCTAAAAGCCCTGGACGACAGAAGCAAGGATCCAATGCCTGACTGATGACGTCGTGCGCGCTAGAATGCACGCTAGGTCACACTTCAGCATGTTCTCGTCAGCTCGGTCTTTAAATCGCTTTGTCATTTCTCCTCAGCGAGCTCCCATGCCACGGCCACCATGATCTGGTGTTGCTCGACGACCCCCACCTCTTATCGCAAGTCTGCCACCCACGCATGCTTGTGCAGCAAGAAAGCACAGCTCTTGGCTGCACTTAGGAGGGTAGTAAAAAATTAAACTTTTAGCTGCCTTATTAGGAAACCCAACAAACCCAAAAAATCTAAGGATCTAAAGTTACAGTAAAGCACCACAAAGGAAAGCACAGCCCCCAAGAGAACGAGCATGAGGAAGGGAAGGAGTGCGGTGGTAGAGAAGATAGTATTCAGCATGGCAAGCCAACTTCCTCCGAAGTACCCAGAGACTCCAAAACCCCTTAACTAAGGAATCTACCATAAATTATACTAGGAACCTAATATGATTTAAGGTGTAGTCCTTAGTTAAGGGGTTTTGGAGTCTCCGGAGTAGTTCAAAGCGAAAAAGTTTTTGAGTGAGGCTGCCGTCCACGACAACCGCGCATGAAGAAACGGATGCAACAAGTGAATTTTAGCCAGGACCAGGAAGCCTTCCCCAAATTCTGGGGGTGGGGGGAAGGGGGCAGGGTGGGGGGGAGGGGTAGGGGGGCCCGCCCGGCCCCCCTGTGCCGTAGTATCAAAGCCACCCGAAGAACCCCAAAAGTGTTTAGGTTTCTGGGGGGGCTCATATCCAAACAGCCCGTCCTTGTAGCGGGCATCGAGCTAGGTTTGAGGCGTCGCCCCTCCCCCCCCCCGCCCTAATTCTGTAGTGATTTTTCAAAGGGCCACTGCCGGACCGGGTTTTGGAGCAAGTGAGTTTTCAAAAGTAGGTTTTGTTTTTCTAGGGGAAGGGCCTAATGAAGCATTGTGACACTCAAGCATTCAAAGCCCTAAACCCTAAACCCTAAACCCTAAACCCTAAACCCTAAACCCTAAACCCTAAACCCTAAACCCTAAACCCTAAACCCTAAACCCTAATCCGCATTGAAAGGTAGCAAGGGTCGAAGGCTGCCAGGTGCACACGCTCTTCGTGAACATTCTTGTTTCGACAGTGGTTGGTATCTAAGAAAATATTCAACATACCCCTTAAGGGCATGCTAGGGTTTAGGGTTTAGGGTTTAGGGTTTAGGGTTTAGGGTTTAGGGTTTAGGGTTTAGGGTTTAGGGTTTAGGGTTTAGGGTTTAGGGCTTAGGGCATACCTCTTACCAGCATGGACTATTCGGCCTTAGAATCCCCCTAAACCAAGCCGATAAAGGGCCTTTTGAAGGGCTCATTGGGCATAATAGCCCATGCAGGTAACAGAAAGTAAGGGGTATGGTAGAATCCTTCCTTATATTCTCCTTTTAGGAGGTTCAGCGGTATGGATTTGGGGTATGTTGAAGTAGTCCGCCGACCCTGGCGGCGTGTTGGATGGGAAAAGGAGGTGAAAAGCTCCCTCCCCCAAAACCCGGGAGAGGGGGGGGGGGGTAGGGGGGGGTACCCCGCCAGCTTTTCCGTGGAGGAACAGGCCACCCACACCGCGTAAACTCATGGACCATAGGCGTTTTCGCACAGGGCATAGGGGCTCTTTTGGAAAAAAACCCTCCCCCCCCCCCCCCCCCCCCCCCCCCCCCCCCCCCCCCCCCCCCCCCCCCCCCCCCCCCCCCCCCCCTCAACAGGAACCGCAAACAAAATCACCAAACCCCAAACCTTAAACTTGTTCTCCTGCGGGGTCGGCGGCTTGAGCCGGAGGCTCTTAAATCTTAGATGGTAGCCCTTTCGAAATCGAAGACCTAGATACCAAGACAGGCTTTTATACCCTATAATGTTGCACCCTGTTTAGTATTGGCCCCCTGTTTAAAGACAAACTGGCCGAATTATTCAGGACATGCTGACTGTTTGGGAGTCCCTCTATAAAGACAAACCGCCCCCGAAATCCGGAATTTTTTTTTAGGATTTGGGGCTTGCCTTTAAACTAAGTTAAAACGTTCAATCCTGAAAACCAAATCCTGTAAATGCTCAGTTTTCTTCTCAAGCTGGGTCTCTCAAGCTTTTCAAAAAGAGGGCCCATGCTGCCTCAGGCTGCAAGTTGATGACTGAGTTAATTATCCCTAAACCGAACTGTCGGACTTCAGGATGTCCTGAGTTGCCTGAGGCAGCAGTCGTGGCCGGCCCCAGAGGGGTGATGTTCCTGAGCCTGGATTTGCTCAGGTTTCTTTGGCGCGGCAAGCTTCACTACCCTTCTGAGCCTCAATCGGCTGAGGCTTCTTGGCCTTGAGTATCTCTTTGAGATACTGAGCGAATTCCTCGGTTGAATTTGCTCAGGTTTCTTTGGGACCGGAAGCCTCACTACCCTTCTCAGCCTGAATTGGCTCAGGCTTGTCACTACCCTTCTCAGCTGGAATTGGCTGAGGCTTGTTGGCCTTCAGCATCTCTTTGAGATACTGAGGGAATTCCTTGGGTCCTGCAGCAGGGCAATCGTCTCAAGCAAGGGCTCACAAGTGCAAAAGGCTGATGGCAGAGTTGCAGTCCTGGCTGAAAGGGCAGCTTTCCCTCAGCAGCGGCCTCAGTGGTGAGGTGGTACCTCAGGGCTTTCTCAGCCTGGCACTGAGGACAGCCTGTCTGCCATCGGCAATTCTGGCAGATCCCTGGCGAGTGCTCTAAGGCCAGAATCTTGGCTGTGGCTTCTTTGCTGAGATGCTTCCAGGTGAACCTGAAGACGTTCTTGTCGAGGGATTCCTTAGCAGCCACAGCAGCCTTGCTGGTCGAAGTCTTGGCTGTGTCTAAGGCGTGCTGAGCTTTGGCTACCCTCTTCTCTGCTTCCTTTCTCTCTGCCTCAGTCTTCTTGTAGGCCTTGTCGATCTCAGCGATCCTCAGCTTCTGCTCCTTCTCAAGATGTGGCTTCATCTTGAGAAGCCTCTCCTTCCAAGTCTTAGCCAGAAGCCCAGGCCAAACCCTCAGCCATTCTCCTCGGGCCTGCCTCACTTCCTGCTCCATCCAGGCTAAGACATAGAACCCGCAGAGCAGTGACCCCTGAGGCTGCACTGCTGAGTTCGTCTTCTTGGGGAGGCTGAACTGAGGATCGAGCAAGCTCCCAATCCTGACCTGAGCCAAGGTGCAGGCCTGAATTGGCTGCTGAAGGCTGTCGTAGAGTCGCCACTGAAAGCCCTCGGTCTGGTCCAGGGACTCTCTCTGAGCCACCAGCAAGGTCCAGTGCAAAGCCCTAACCACTGGAACCAGAAGCCTGAGGGCATTGCCGAAGGCTTGCTTAACGGCATTCTCACGTGGCTCAAGCAAGTGCTCAGGAAACTCGAAGAGCAAGTGAGGAAGGCCAGGGTCCAAGCACTCCACCGAGAACTCCTCAAAGGAGCCTGCCTTGGCTTTTCGCAGGGACCAGCTCATCATGGCCCAGCCCTGCCAGATCCACTGATCCTCCACTAAGAATGGCTCCTCAGTGTGAGGGAAGGGCACTAAGCCGTGGTCGGCATAGTCGTCGTGCCTCAGCTTTGGCTCAGGCCAGCAGGAGATGGCCCGGAGGATTGTTTGAGTGTCTGCCCTGCTGAGGTATTTCAGCTGAGCCCAGACGAACTCAGCAGTCTTGGGCTCCCAAAGGGTCAGATGCTCAGACCTGATCTCGAAGGTGCCACTCACGGTCATGACAGTGTAGCGACCTGACTGGAAGTCTGAGGCAAGGCCCTTAATGCCGAAGAGCATGTGGCCGGCAGCCTCAGAGACACAAATGACTTCTTTCTCAAGGAAAGGAGCCAGGGCTGCGGACTCAGTCTCTGTGGTCTCAGCTTTGGCCTTGGTCTCAGCTTTGGCCTGAGCCTTCTTCTCCTTCTTCTTCTTAGCTGTGACCTTAGCAATGACCTTGTCGACTGTGGCCTTGTGCTCATGCTTTTTACCTGCTTTCTTCTTAGCCGAAGACTTGAGGAACTTGCTGGCCTTGCTCTTTGCTGAGGGCTTGTTCTTCGCTGAGGGCTTGGTGGTTGCACTCAGTTTCTGGCCTTTGGTCTCTGTTCTCACAGGCACAACCTCACTGAGTGCTTCTGCCCGACTGCTCAGCAGCAGCTTTTGTCTCAAGCTTTGCAGAAGCTTGCCCCTGAAGGCTTTCCTGTGCTTCAGCCTCTCCCTCCTCAGCTCTGCCTTTTTCCTGATGTCCTTGACTCTCTCAGCATAGCCCTCCTCAAGGGCTCTGCGAGCTGCTGCACGTCTGAGCTTTGGGTGCAGCCTGAGGGAAAGGCTGTTCTGCAGACTCAGGTCCAGATCCTCTGCAAGGTCTGCATCTAGGTCAAAGCCTCCATCTTCAGCCTCCTGCTCAAGGTCCTCCTCAGGGTTGAAATACTCCCACCTGATGAGGTCGGAAATCTGCTTAGCTGAGTCGCTGAGAGACCAGTCTGCCTGGATGGGTTTGCCTGAGTCGTCCAGCCACTTCAGCCTCTCTGAGAGCCAGGCAGCTGGGAAGCGACGACTGCCCATCCTCAGCTCGAGCTCCTTAGCCCAAGGCTGCTCAGTGACGGGCTCGAGCTTCCCACTCTCAGGGTTCGGCCGGTAGGCCAGAAGGCCATTCCTCACGGCTGCCCTGACAACCCAGGAGTGCTCTTCGTTCTTCTGCCTCAGCTGCTCCTCAGCCCAGACCACTGAGGTGACGATCTCAAAGGCACCTGCTCGCCAGACCTCAGACTCGCCTGAGTCTTTCTGCTTCTCCTGGAAGTCTGTCCTGAGGGCGGACAGCTTGTGCCTCACGGCAGCCTTAAACTCTCTGGCGAAGTCTGAGTCCGTGATCTGGAGCTTAGAGGTGCACTTAGCAGCAACTAAGCAGCTGATCTGCTGGGCTAAGGCCATCGACTCAGCAGCCGTGTCTGAGAAGACCGAGCTGAAGCAATCCCTCTGCCAGACTGAGCAAGGGTACTCAGTGGCCTGGCCCTCAATGACCCAGCTCAGGATCACTGAGTCGACGTTCGCAGCTGGCTGGCTCATGATGTCCAGCTTAGCGACAAGCTCAGGGTGAGCCTGCCTGAGCTTGCGATAGCTGAGCAAGATCTTGCCGACTGAAGCACCAGCTGAGTGAACCTTCTCCTTAGCCCCGACCCTGAACCTCTCAGTCTGGATCCACTTGCCATCCTGAGAGATGTTGCTCAGGCGGGCCCATTGCCCCGGCACGACCAGCAAGCCCTTTCCCACTAAGCCGATGACTGGCTTGCTGGGCTCAGCCACGACTTGAAGAAGCACCTGACGGGCCTCGTAGGTGATTCTGAATCTTTCGTCGGCTGAGAAGCCTAAGGTGGTCTTAGCTCCGGCCTTAGGCAGTGCCTTCTGTTTCTTCTTTGCTTGCTGAAGCTCAGGGCCTTTCTGACTGTGCCTGAGCCTCGGCTGCTGCTGCTCCTCTGCTTGGTCCTCGGCCAGCTGAGGTTTCTCTGGGCTAAGGCTGCTGAAGCTCAGGGCCTTTCGGACGGTGCCTGACCCTTCTGAGCCGAAGCTGAGGGCTTTCTGTACTCGGGGAGTGCTGTCACCTGTGTCGCTGATGGGAACCACTTCAAAGGTTGCATCTGAGTCAGTCTTCATGACATCCTCAATGGCTTGCCTGACCTCAGAAAAGTCCTTGGTGGTCTCAGCTGAGTGGAGCTCCTCCTGAGCAAACACGGCCTTTCGGCCTGTTGCCTTAGCCCACAGAGGCACCTGATCAGAGAAGCCGATGGCTAAGTCAGTCCTGTGCTTCAGGAAGTCCTCAGGGTCTGCCACTCTCTTCTCAGAAGAGAGCTCAGCAAGAGAGCTGAGGCTGGCCAGCCAGAGGCACCAGTCAAACTCTTGCCAGGTGAGCTTGCACCTGACCTGGGACTCAAGGCTGCTAATGTTGCTCACGACCTCTGAGGTGGTGAACTTAGCCTTGGTCCATCGGAGGAGCTTCTGAGTGAAGCTCCTTCGGTAGGCCTTGCTCTTGCTCAGCTTCTGAGCCCTGGTCTCTTTGTCCTCAGCATCCTGCTGGAACTCAGCCTTCTTGAGGTTGCTGAGGCCCGGATCTTCTGCCCGAAGATGAGACTTCGTGGCGGAGAGCCTGAGCTGAAATAAGAACTCCTGGAAGAAGTCCTGGTGGGTGATGGTGTGGCCACAGGCTCGCTCAACAGCCAGCCACTGAGAAAGGGTCGCAAGGACCTCAGGGTAAGGCGCCTTCCGGCCAGCACCTGAAACCCTGACTCGCCTCTTGTTCTTAGAGCTTCCTTGCAGAAGAGGTTTCTGGCTCATTGCTGCATAGGCATCACTTTGCCTGACGATCCTGCTGAGCTGTTTCTTCGACAAGCCATGCTTCGCGATCATGGCAGTCCAGAACTCGCTCAGGTTGGAAAACTGAGACTTGGACTCAGCCAAGTCCTGAGCAATGAGCTTCTTTCGATTGGCTGTCATCTCGATGCGACCTTTCTGAGGCTTCCTCTTCCCGGCCTCAGGGGCACAAGAGCTTCAAAGGCCGCCTTAGATGCTTCGGACTCGAGCTGAGCTCTGCTCTTGTGGCTCCTGTGGAAAGGTGTCAACTGCAGGTCTGAGACCGGCTGAGAAGCTGCCTTTTGCTCAGGTGTTCCGAAGAACTTCGTCAGGCCATACTGCAGACCTTTTCGCACAGTTGACTGAGATGGAGTGCTCACGATCTGCTGAGAAGCCTGGCTCGGGCTGCTCTGCTCTGGGCTGCCCTGCTGTGGCTTCTCAGGAGTCTTGCTGGGTGTTTCTGAGGCTGGCCCGCCCCCTTTGGCTCTGACTTGGAAGGCCTGTGCTCAGGAAGGATGAAGGCCTTAAATAATTAGTTAGGGTTTCCTTAAGGTTTTTTATGTTGGCGATGGATCTTGGACCCGGAATAATGGGACTGATTCGGGGCCCTCTTTAATGTCAAAGCCCCGGCCGGGAGGCCCGATTTCGGAACCCGTGCTGTTTGCCTTTAAAGGCGGGCCTTTTGATTTAAAGCCGGGCCTTAGGATTTCAAAGGCCGATTTCCGGAATTCCGACCGGCCCGAAACCAATATTTTCCTTTAAGGAAACCTTTTGAAAAATTGGTCCCCCTCAATCCGGCAAGGGGGTGGTCCAGGGCCCCCCTTGGACCCGGAATAATGGGACTGATTCGGGACCCTCTTTAATGTCAAGGCCCCGGCCCGGAGCCCCGATTTCGGAATCCGGGCTGTTTGCCTTTAAAGGCGGGCCTTTTTGATTTTAAAGCCGGGCCTTAGGATTTCAAAGGCCGATTTCCGGAATTCCGACCGGCCCGAAACCAATATTTTCCTTTAAGGAAACCTTTTGAAAAATTGGTCCCCCTCAATCCGGCAAGGGGGTGGTCCAGGGCCCCCCTTGGACCCGGAATAATGGGACTGATTCGGGACCCTCTTTAATGTCAAGGCCCCGGCCCGGAGCCCCGATTTCGGAATCCCGGCTGTTTGCCTTTAAAGGCGGGCCTCTTGATTTTAAAGCCGGGCCTCAGGATTTCAAAGGCCGATTTCCGGAATTCCGACCGGCCCGAAACCAATATTTTCCTTTAAGGAAACCTTTTGAAAAATTGGTCCCCCTCAATCCGGCAAGGGGGTGGTCCAGGGCCCCCCTTGGACCCGGAATAATGGGACTGATTCGGGGCCCTCTTTAATGTCAAGGCCCCGGCCCGGAGCCCCGATTTCGGAATCCCGGCTGTTTGCCTTTAAAGGCGGGCCTCTTGATTTTAAAGCCGGGCCTCAGGATTTCAAAGGCCGATTTCCGGAATTCCGACCGGCCCGAAACCAATATTTTCCTTTAAGGAAACCTTTTGAAAAATTGGTCCCCCTCAATCCGGCAAGGGGGTGGTCCAGGGCCCCCCTTGGACCCGGAATAATGGGACTGATTCGGGACCCTCTTTAATGTCAAGGCCCCGGCCCGGAGCCCCGATTTCGGAATCCCGGCTGTTTGCCTTTAAAGGCGGGCCTTTTGATTTTAAAGCCGGGCCTCAGGATTTCAAAGGCCGATTTCCGGAATTCCGACCGGCCCGAAACCAATATTTTCCTTTAAGGAAACCTTTTGAAAAATTGGTCCCCCTCAATCCGGCAAGGGGGTGGTCCAGGGCCCCCCTTGGACCCGGAATAATGGGACTGATTCGGGACCCTCTTTAATGTCAAGGCCCCGGCCCGGAGCCCCGATTTCGGAATCCCGGCTGTTTGCCTTTAAAGGCGGGCCTTTTGATTTTAAAGCCGGGCCTCAGGATTTCAAAGGCCGATTTCCGGAATTCCGACCGGCCCGAAACCAATATTTTCCTTTAAGGAAACCTTTTGAAAAATTGGTCCCCCTCAATCCGGCAAGGGGGTGGTCCAGGGCCCCCCTTGGACCCGGAATAATGGGACTGATTCGGGACCCTCTTTAATGTCAAGGCCCCGGCCCGGAGCCCCGATTTCGGAATCCCGGCTGTTTGCCTTTAAAGGCGGGCCTCTTGATTTTGCCATTCATTGCTGAATTAGGGTCTTAGGGTAATTATTCATCTCTGAGAACAGAAGAGAGCTGACTTTTGCACACACACACACACACACACACACTCAAACTGTCTGCTGCTGTCTGTCTGAGGCCCTTTAGGCCTGAGCTCGGCCTGATTGGCGGAGCTCAGTCTGCCACTTCTTCACCTCAGACGGGCTTAGGGCACGGTCTAGGGTTTAATTAATTAGGGTTTAATTAGGGTTTAGGGTTTAGGTTTCATTAGGGTTTAGGGTGTAAGCAATTACTACTACGACGACGACAGGGTTTAGGGTTTAGGGTTTAGGGTTTAGGGTTTAATTAGGGTTTAGGGTTTAGGCTTTAGGGTCTAGGGTTTAATTAGGGTTTAGGGTTTAGGGTTTAGGGTTGAGGGTTTAGGGTTTAGGGTTTAGGGTTTGGGGTTTAATTAATTAGGGCTTAATTAGGGTTTAGGGTTTCTTTAGGGTTTAGGGTCCCAAATCTTGAAGCTTAGTGGCTTCTGCCTCAGTGTTCCACTCAGGCAGCTGGCCCGGAGCCTCAGGCATCCTGCTGAGGCCTGCGAAGCTCACCTCGAGGCACTGAGCCTTAGTTCAAGGTGATTATTACTTTTGGCCTAAAGCTAAGAACCCCCTAAACCTAAACCCTCAACCCTTATTAAACCCCAAAACGACTGACTAAGTGCCTGTCTTAGCAACTTTCTCCTGAAGGGACCTCAGGCGGCTCTCAGTCTGGTGATAGAGGTGTCGTGCTGAGGACCAGGATGCTAAGGCAGACATCCTGGTCTGAATGGGTGCCTTAGATGCCAAAAACCCAAGACCCTAAACCCTAATTAAACCCTAAACCCTAAACCCTAAACCCTCAACCCTAAACCCTAAACCCTAAACCCTAATTAATGAAACCCTAAACCCTAATTAAACCCTAAACAAACCCTAAACCCCAAACCCTAACAGTCCAGGCTGCTGCTGAGAAGTAGAGCTGAGTAACCTCAGGCCTCAACAGGTTGCTCAGCACCTTCTCGTGCTCGGGCTTGGACTCAGTGCATCCATCGAGTGCCTGAGTTCAGGGGTTTTGCTTAGTTAATTACTGGACTGACTCAGAAATGCCTCAGTTCTGCTGCGGCACTCTCAGGAATCTCCAATAGAAGACTTCTGATTTCACACTGAGGATGGCCGTGCTGAGGAGCACATCCCACTCAGCTCGAAAAGCCTAAGCTGAGCAAGGTTTGGGTTTTAATTAATTAGGGTTATCAAAACCTCAGCAAAACTAGAACTTAGTGCAACAGGGTGGCCTCAGGTTCCCAAGCAGTCTGCTTCCCTAAGGAAGTGCGAACCCTCAGGAACATGTCCTTCAGGATCTGAGCACCACCTGCCTGAGAATTGCTTTCGGAGGTTAATTAGGGCTTAGAGTTTAATTAGGGTCTAGGGCTTAATTAATTAGGGTTTAGGGTTTAGGGTTTAGGGTTTAGGGTTTAATTAGGGTTTAGGGTTTAGGGTTTAGGGTTTAGGGTTTAGGGTTTAGCGTTTAGGGTTTAGGGTTTTAGGGTTTCATTAGGGTTTAGGGTTTAGGGTTTAGGTTGTAGGGTTTCGTTGGTCTGAGGGTTGGCTTACTGAGGAGTTTCCTCATGCTCAGCCTCAGGGTCGAACTCGTAGAAGACCTGGCTGAGGTGCCTCAGGGCATCCCAGGAATCTCCTGAGGAATGATCTTGGCCTCAGATTGCCAAGAATAGTAAACCCCTAAACCCCTAAACCCCTAAACCCCTAAACCCCTAAACCCCTAAACCCCTAAGCCCCTAAACCCCTAAACCCCTAAACCCCTAAACCCCTAAACCCCTAAACCCCTAAACCCCGAAACCCCTAAACCCCTAAACCCCTAAACCCCTAAACTACTAACCCTAAACCCTAAACCCCTAGGAGTTGTGTTAATTGACGGATAAACTAAGACCAACCTAAGGCGTTTAAGGGCTCAGGGCTTTAGGGGTTTAAGGGCTTAGGGAATTCTGGGTTTGTGGGTTTTCCTTAGGTGCTGCCTGAGTCTCGGCGCTCAATGTGGGAGACCCTGTCTGAGATAGCACTCAGCCATTCCTCCTCGAGGGTTTAGGGTTTAGGGTTTCATTAGGGCTTAGGGTTAATCAAGGTTTCGGGAGAGGGTCTGGGGCTTAATTAGGGCTTAGGGTCTAATTAGGATTAAGGTTTTTGGGCTTGCATGGAGGCTCAGGGTGCTCGCTCAGATCTGAACTGAGACATGTGTCCTGAGCTTTCAGGTACCACAGGACGTCACTCATGAACTTGTAAGTCTTGAAGGCGACCCCCAAGACGAAGCTCAGGACGAAGATCTGAGCCTGAGCACGGCTGAGGGAGCTTGTTCTTCAGGGTTTGCTGAGGTTTCGCAAACCCTGCAGGGTGCACTTAACCCTAAACCCTTGATTAAACCCCAGAATGCAGCTGAGCAACCCAGACTGAGGCGTCAAAACCCCAGTCCTTGAGCTGAGTCACCAGAACCGACAGCTCTGAGGTGACTGGACCTGAGATGCGAGAACATGCAGAACTCAAGGAATGCTGAAACCCACTGAATTCATTAATTATGGCTTCACTGAGGCACTCCTTTTCGCTCAGGCCTGCTCAAAAACCGGTCTCTCTCAGGAGACAATGCAAAAACTCAGTCTCCCTCAGCAGACACTCAGTGCTGACTCAGGCAGCTTTCACTGATGTGCAAGCCAGCTTTGGGTGGAGGAAGTCTCAGGCAAGCCTGAGGACGATGCTGAGGGCTGGTTCTGGTTCATCTTCTGAAGGAGTGCCCTCAGCTGCTCCTGCTCGGCAGCACTCAGGTTGCTCGTCTCAGGAAGGGGCGTGTGCTGAGGCGAGGCCTTGGGCTCAGGAGCTGGCTCAGCTGCCTGAGCGGCCTTGGCATCCAGCCTATCCTGGACCTGCTGAGCCAGGTCTAAGGCTTCCTCAAGGTGGTCCTCCTGAAAGTCGTCCAGCTCAGCGATGAGGGCCTCGATGTCCCTCAGCTGGTCTTTGAGGTCCTTAACCATCTCCTTAGCCTCCCCACTCAGGTCCCTGATCTTCGCGACACTGCCCCTCAGGGTGTTCTCAGAGTAGCCATGACCCCTCAGGCGGAAGGTGCAGGCACTCAGGCTGGAGTCGGTCGTCCTCAGCCACTTGTGAACCACCTCTGCTGAGATTTCCTCATCCTCATCCTCAGGCAGTGGCGGAGGTGGTGCCTTAGGAGCAGCCTCAGGAGCCCCACCTGAGGAGGGAGCTGGGCCAAAGCTGACATCCAACCCTCTCAGTGGGCCTGGCTTCTCCTGAGCGAA